TTATTGATTTTCAAAATTTTATTATTTTTTAAAATCATTGGGGTTTTTTAAATTCACAGTTTAGAGAAAAGAGGTGCTAAGCCACCTGAGTAAGAATTCAGAGGGATTTGTACCAGTGTAACTTCACTGCAAAACACATCCTTATTCAATTGATTTTGTCGTGAAGGCAGGAACTTGCATTCGAGTACAGTTGGTACAAGGATTTAATCATTACTGCTTCCGTTTTGATTTTAAATCAAATACAGCGAGTGTTTCTGACTCAGAGAATTGTGACTTTCCACCAACTTTATTCCGTCGGTGCCTTTCGATGAGCTTTAGAGCTCACTGGGCAGTCACGAATATGGGAGACCCGTGTTGGTTCCCAGTTGTGTCTCTCCTCCTCCTGTACAGGACCAAAATCGTGGCATTTTGCCTCGACGGCTGTGCCATCCACGTCAGACCCGGGGGGAATGTGGTGTGAGACTGAGCCCCGTGCTCCTGCCTGACTGTACACCGACATCGGTTTCATGGCAGCTGGCAAAGATGAGGTCGCTTTCTGTTGCCCCTGAGAAATAAAATAAAATTTAAAAAAAAAGGCAATTATGCAGTTTCTGTGGGTGCTCTGCTCAGACCCCTTCCAAGAGGAAGGCAGGAGATGTCATATTGATTTTTCAGTGTGCAGGTGGCTCAGGCATGTTCTCTGCACCGTTAGAACGTGAGCAGATGCTTCATAACCGTAATAGAAAAATCAAGGATGCTTCTCTACATCACTGACTTCCCCCAGTGTTTTGGCAAAGACCGTTGGCCCAAGCAGATGTGGAAGAGAGAGAGTGGAATATGAAGTGTGTCAGCATCATAAATATTTAAAATATGGTCCACTGTGTGGCAGAAGTACTATTACTGAGGCTTCTGCTTAGCTGGTTTTTACGTTCACCCGTGATTTTTTTGCCAGTGTGTACAGGCATGGTACCCAGTTTCACACAGTAAGTATGGGTTGAATTAAACCATACAACACAGGTAGCTTTCATGTCAGTGCTTTGGTCGCTACTTTCCCCAATACCCAGTGTGTTCCCATCTCCCTTTCGGGTATACTGTCATTTTTACTCTCCATCAGGGCTTAGCTGTCTGTGGTTTCTCTTATCTCCCATGGTTTTGGGTCCCAGAGTGTGATTCTTCAGTGATGCTCTAGCACAGCAGATACATTCCAAAAGTGAAATGGCTGAAGCGGTCCGGGTGAGCGGGGCTGTGCAAGTACCAGCTTCGACAGCCATCCCTGTCGGAGTAGGTGGTGAATTTGCTTCCAGACCCTCTGGAGATCCTTGGGGTTGTGAAGCAACATAGTTTGAAGGAAGCAGAGGTGAAAACTCCTCTCCTCTATCCAGCAAGCACAGAGGAGCTGTGGAAGTGCCTGGCCCTCCTCCCCTCTCCTCCTTACTGGAAACGGGGCTGGAGGCAGCAGAAAGTAAGTGGACACTTACGCAGTTTTCAGCTTCCCACATGGATTTCGTTACTCTGTCGTATGTCATGAATAAGCTGACTTACGCAAGACGTTTTACTTGCCAGAGGGTTATTTGTTGTACTTCGATGTAATAACGCTGCACTATTGCATGATTTGGAAATAATTCTATTGTGTTAAGTATTTTGTATGCAAATACCTTACGAGGAGAGAAAAAAAAAACCCACATAATCTTGATTTTTACATCATTTATTCCTTCACTTCTTTGAAAATTATGTCTTGTTATAAAATCACTTCCACTAACTAGTGTTGCATCACCAGTACCCGACCACGAATATGCGTTCCTAGGAAGGAGAGGGTGACAGAAACAAACACCTACTCTAATGTGTCATTAGAAATCAAACAGACCTAAAACTTGCTTCTGCTTGCCAATGCTCAGCTCTTCTACGCGTCTGTCTCCGGCAGCGAGACCAAGGATGCATCCAGATTACAGAAACTGCGCTTGCATGCAGACAAAATATCATTGAACAATTTAAGATTATAGGTTTGCATTGTGCCCACAAAGCTGTTTGTTTATGTATTGGATTAAAATCTTCATTTTCCACCTCTATTTGCTCAAACAAAGTGAGTACTTAGATCAGTTAAACAGAGTTCTCCATTCATTTCCACTGGCTGTATCCTTTGTGCGTTACATCCGCTTCTGTATAAACCCGCTCTTTGTTTTGTTTTGAGGTGCTTCTGAAGGCTCTATCAGGGAACAAGTGGCAATCTATAACATCTTCAAAAGTGGGATGGATAAAATAGCAGTAATCTGATACTGACACGTAAAGGTCACCGAAAGGCACCGCTGAAACCCCCCCCGAGCGGGATGGGAGTAGCTGCCTTCGGAAAGGCACGCTGCCTACCGAGGGTGCCTGCATTCGTCTTTCGGTACCGAGGGGTTTTTTTTCTTTTTGAAGTGTCTGGTTTTGGCAAGTTGAAATAGTTGCTCTGCCTTGTTGAATGGGAGTGGAAGCTATACGTAGGTGTTAAGTATGTTACGCTTAACGTTGTGTTAGCAAAATGACCTTTTAAGTTCCCGTCTACAGTCAACACCAATCTTTCTGGTTATAGACTTCAACATCCTGAGCATCGTTTACAGTTTGACACTCTTCTTGGTCATTCCGTCATTTTCTTTGGACACAATACTGGGGTATCATGTCCTACATAGTTTGTCTTGTCTTGTGCAAGTTCCCTGGAAAGAAAAGAGATTTGCACTTGGATTTAAAAAATAAATACAAATCTCGGTAGGGCTCTTCCCGTTGACTTGGCCATGGCCTTTAGGCTCTCACAGAGAAACTTTAAAAAACCCTGCTGGGGGTTTAAGCCATGTGACTCCTGTTGATATTATAATGAGATTTACAGTGCTTAAAACCCACAGGGGACTGACTCCTTACTTGGCGTCACATGGCGAGGACTGCATATATGGGTAACGCGCACTGTGTAAATTAATACACTGAATTTTTTTTGGGTTCTGCCAAACACACTGAAATTGTAACTCTCGTGTAGTCTTCATGGGCTTTAATGGAGTGTTAACATGAAAGCCTACTTTCTCACCCTTTGCTATATTCAGGTATGGAAGCAGATGATAAACCCCATTATTTTCTGAATTATTCTTTTCCGATGTGTATGGAGGGCGTTTGACCGTATGCCTGTCTGGTTTGGGTGGACGGTGTTCCTTCAGCCATCCTCCCTCCTTCTCGGCTGAGGAAACGTGTGGTGTAGCATTTTCTTAATTTCCTTGCAAGGAATGCATCGGTCCCTTTGTTCTTTCAAAAACTTACCTGATAGAGCTTCTCCCCACTTGCACATTTTAGAAAAACTGGTGAGGTTAAACCAGTGTAATATTCCCTTATAGAAAAGGCCTTTGAAAGTCTCTTCACCTATAGTGGGTTTTTTTAGGAAATTACCTTGCACATACATGTATTTACTCTTCAAGAACTATTTGTAAACAGCTGAAAATAAGATTTTAATGAAACAATGATTTAGGGTCATGTACAACTTGTAATACCTTTTCCAGTCAGATCTGTACCTTTTTTTAATTTAAAAAAAAAAAAAAAAGTTACAAATAACTTGAAAACCCACCTTCAATTATCTTCAGATTCTTGTTGGGCCTAAAGTCAAAAGTAGCAGAACCTGGGCAAGAATTTCTCTTGCAACTTCTTTGCATTTGGGATAACATCTCAGGGGTGTGTTCTACGGTGACCTTGCTATCCAGTGCATCAGAAATAATACAAGAACACAATTTTGTTACAGTATGCAGGCAGATAATATTACAGAACAAGAATAAACAGCATTTCCACATGTGTATGAAAGTAAAATGGCAAAAAGTAGGCGTTTATCCATAACGTTACCTGTAATCCAGGATAAAATAAGTCATAAAAGCCACACCTAGATGCTGGTATGTGTTCATATCCTTTGTGTATGTTTGAAGTTCATAATACAGCACAGGCATACTGTAGCAAAAAGATTTGCTATGAAAAATAGATACGTGTGTGAGCAAAAAATAGAGATTTCAATATTATTTTGACTTTTTATTTTTAAAGTCATCTAAGGTTATGGAAATTGTTGGAAAAATAATTCCTTTACTTAAGAAGTTTCCATGCAGAAGTTGAATAAAGAAGATATTTTAGAATATGGTTCATCAGTTAGTGCAACAGATACATTTCCCTGAGCACCACATGGCCCGGATCAAAGCATCTCATGACTTGGATCAGTGCAGCCAAATCATTACGTATTGATTGGAATCCTGCTGATAGTGCTCATATGAATTTTTTTCTTTAACCCTGGTTTCAGTAGTTAGAAAGCTCTGTGGCGTTCCTGCCAAACCTCAGCAAGGTTAACAGCCCTCACTAACCCCTCATACTGAGGAATCCTTTGATTACATGGTTCCTTTTTTTATGATGAATTTTGCATTTGAAAATAGTGGTGAACCTTCTTTACTGGGACATAAGGTGGCTGTAGTTGTGCAAAGAAGCAGCGGGGAGGGGGAACCAAAGTGAAAACCAAAAAAAAAAAAAGCCCGGTAAGTAAATAACATGGTGGGAAAGCCAAGACTGCAGACCTGATGCTTTTCCTCTTTCTAGAGTGATGAGGAAGGCCTCAGGTCCGGTTGTATTGTGTTGTAAGAATACACTGCTGCATGGAGATGACTTTTCTTCCTGATGAAGTTGAATTGTAAATATGCAATGTTCATAAATTTCTTAGCAAAATATCAAGCAGGATATTAAGCAGGTCTGTCAAATGATTTCTCCCCCGTCCATGCTAATTTAAATTCTTTACAAAGCTTTTAATTAATGAATGAAATGTAGGAGGATAGCTAAGTAAGAATGACACATGTTTCGCACTGCAAATGGTATTTAATTCTGTTTTGAAAAACCATGGGCAGAGTCAGGTGGGTACCGTGAGATGTTATAGGGATGTTTCAGAATCTGTTGTTTGCTACTCTTCAGAGTCTTTGTGAAGATTAATTAGCGTGGTACCTTCAGTTACGCCACTTTTTCTCTTTTCTCTTTCTCTCCTCCAGTTTATCCCACGAGGAGCACTCACACAGCCACCCGCTCTATGGACACGGCGTATGCAAATGGCCAGGCTGTGAAGCAGTATGTGAAGACTTCCAGTCGTTTCTAAAGTAAGGATGGGTTTTTTGGCACTTGCATTGTACAGGAAGCATGTCCTGAAATTTTGTGTGCTGTCACTCACCGTGGGCCTGATGCAAAGCCCATTGAAGTCAACAGAGAGCTCCCTTTCACTTCAGTGGCTTTTGGATCAGGCTCAAGAACATTTTAACAGGGGATAGTAAATTAGCCCCATGGGGAAAGTATGGTCTTGCTCAGTGTATTACTATAAAATAGTGTGTTTGCAGTTCCGCAGCCTTTTTATTTTTTCATTTAAATAATTTTTAAGTTGCAGTATTGATAATGTAAACAATACAACCTTGATTTAACCTTGATTTCACTTTAATTTAGAAATTTAGTCTTAAATTAATTCCGTAATTGAACAGAGAATTGCAGAACATCACGTGAAATTTAATTTATGTCAAATAAGTAACTAATGAACAAAGTCTACACTACTAAAAATAAACTATAATTATATTAATTGGGCCCCTGCAGTTTGCTGCAGACCTTTCCTTGCTGCCAAAGAACACAGTTTTACGCGTTGCATAAACAGTGCATTATGGACTAGTATGTGGTAATGCGTGCATCCCGATGCAGGGAACGACCGGCAGAGCTCTAATAACTTACACATGGCTGCTCCACAGCTAAACCATCAGCCTCACCCCTCCAAGCTGGAGCAAAAAGCGTTCCCATCACAAAAGGGTTTTCTGCCTGGGTCGATCACCAGGTACACATATGCTTTGGGCGGATCCAGGTTCTTGAAGGTTTGGGCACTGATCTTTTCTCAAGTACTATGGGTATTCAGTTGTAAGATCACAAAAGACCAATCGCCCAAGCAATCTTTATGATTTAAATGCACAAAGGGACAAATTCTGCTCCCATTTACAGTGGTGATCTCATGAAGTTAGTCCACATAAATACATCGGATTCTTCAGGATGGATAAGTAGAATTATTCCCAAAACGTTCAGCTGTATCTATTCTTCCTGGGGCAGTTCCCTGGATTTTTATGTGTGGGAGGGAAGGGTGACAGCAAGCAGAGGATGTTTGTTGGATGATGTTAGATGATACAGATAGGTTTCTGCTCTCAGAACGGAATGAGCCAGTTCTGCTTCCCCTGGCAAAACCCCCCTGAATTCAGTAGGAGCAGTGCTGGTCCTAGAGAATGAGCCAGTTCTGCTTCCACTGGCAAAACCCCCTTGAATTCAGTAGGAGCAGTGCTGGTCCTAGTATAAACATCTGTTACAAGTAAGGAATGGTACAGTAATGAGAAGGTTCTCATTACAAGAGGATTACAAAATAAGAAGGTGCTAGTCATAAATTTCCATGAAGGGTGGCCTCATTTCTTTTAAATCACCCTGTTGTTCACTTAAGTGAAATAAATGCTAATCTCGCCATACTTGCCCACTCATTCATATTCATATGCCAAACTATAGCATTTAGACCTTTAAAACAATTCTAATTTTTATTGCACTTACTGCAAGGGGAAGGTGCTGTGATAGCCTTAGATATTGGAGTAACGTGTGTAGTCACGTAAGGTCAGATTATGCCACCTTCGCTTCTTGTGCTAGTCCCCTGTTCCAGATTAGACCTGTTGGTTTCAGGAAGATTTCTTACAGAGCAGTGGACTGCTTGACGTGACCACGTGTAGAAAATACAGCCCTTAAGTCACACAGCATGAGGAGAGGCAAGATTGATTTTTATATGGTCTTTTGGAGGTGTTTCAGTAAGTAGACCAAGCCCACCAGTTCACCCGGAGGAGATACTTGGGGCAATCAATAGGTAGGAATAACCTGAAAACCATTACCACCCCAGGCTGGACCTGAAGCGGCTCCATCTACTCCAGCTCCAACAATTCTGGTTCTTTTATCACTCGCTTATCGTCAATCTTTTTTATTCCCATTGAAACCTTTCAACAGAAATATTTCGTGTGACTTTCTTAAACCCATCGGCTCGTGTAGATTTTCTCATTATCCAAATTCTGCAGTGTCCAGACAAAGTCTTATTGTTCAGAGTGATATTTAACCCAGAACGAATGCAGAAATGAATGTCCCCGAGCAGCGTATTGACACTGTTAGGAAGTGAGCGTTGCTTCATAAAATGAGACCGTAGCCTTCCAAGTCTCCTGTGGAGCGTCCGTCCTTAAATTATATTGCCATTTATCAGAATTCATTACTCAATGAAAAGATAACAGGTAGATGCTTGAAGTTTCTTTCTGGTACTTGTATAATCTGTGAAGCTCTTTCGACAGTCCCCTCAAGAGAAAAGCTCTTGTTTACCAAGTGAAATACAGCCTGTGTATCAATTGAGCATTGCTTAATTTCACTTACCTCAGTAAAAAGGCCCGTTAGAAAAAGCAAAGAGAAGTTACATGCGGAATGAAAGCCCTGTATGCCAATAAAATGATTCTACAGTTACGGGAGAAAAAAGGACTCGCAGGTCTAAAACATGGTTCATTTCTTTTCCTCCTGAGGAAGAAATATCATAACTGTTGGTAAATCAAAACCAGAGATTTGACACTCTTCTGTGATCGTTCTGTAGTGTTTGTTCCCAAGGTGAGGTACACCACAGGGCCCTTGATTTCAAAGATAAATACTGTACAAATAACGATCCTAGTTGTCTTTCACTCACAGCCAACAGGAGGATGCTTATCAGAACCAGCAGATACACGGGCTATTGTACACATTTATTTCCCTATTTCTTTTTGAAATAAGTTGCGGTTTTAGTGTTGTGTTTTTTTTTTTTTTTTTAATCCATCGGCCATTGGTTATCATGTGATGCGGTATCAGTTAGAGCTAACTGATAGCAGCAGGGGCTGCTGCTAAGCCTAATGAAACAGTAGTGCCCTGCATGCTCCAGAATACTCCCCCAGCCTAAAAACAAAAACAAGTCCAGCCTGACTGCGGTGACCTGATGGCCTTCTGCCAAGCTGCGGGGGGCAAGGTGAGGGCTGGAGGGAGCACACGTGTCTCGCGTGTTAACCAGGGCCCCTCTCGCAGGCGGCAACGAAAGGAGCAATTAGTAGCACAGAGCGACTTTCCTTCAAAATTGACTTTATCCTTGATTTCATTTGCATGTGTTTAAAGACCGTTGCAGATAGAAATATATACCCCTTATACGGCAAGTTGGTCAGGAAATCCCTGCTGGAGGGAGGGGGTTGGATATCAACAAGATATCCAAGGCACCCAGGGCAAAAAATGAAGCAGAAAACTGAGTAGGGTTTTATTCCCCCCGCTTTTTTTTTTTAAATTTGATTGTGGTTTAGATGTGCTTGATCACGGCTGTACCGTTTTAAAATCGAATATATTCTTTAAAAGAGGGACGCAGACACAGAGATGTTGCAGTCCTCTATCGCAGGGATGCTAGTAATCCGCTTCATGTGAATTTAACTTTGATGAAACGAAGGGGAGTTTATGTGAAAGAAACTACTAAGTGCACTCTGTAATGTTTTCACAAGTGTTTTTATCATGGTAACATCTTGTTTACTTTAGTTGCCTGCCTAAAACTACTTGGAACATGTTAAGAAAACATTTCGAGAAAGCTGCTACAAAGAGGCTTTTGTTTAGCAGCAACTGTGAGACTGCTCGGCTCACAAAGGTGTTAACTTTCAACCCCTTAAGCACTTCCACATGAAATTCCAGCAACTATGTTTGTGGTTTTGGAAAAACAAAGTGTATATTAAAGAAACCAGGTATATGCTAATACATGTTGAAGTAGGCCGGAAATCCTAAATTGTTTCAAAGGCATTAATTGCTATCATTTGCATGTCAAAATGTTCTGCAGTGAAATCATCTGCAGTTCGCACAACAGAGACTTTTTAATCAAATAGGTGGCAAGGGCTGAGAAAAGGCTCGTCTGTAGATGTCTCTTCAGATTTTTGAACTCCTGGCAGGCCCAGTTCAGCCCCCCAGCTATGAAGCGGTGCTGGCGAGGGTGCTGCCGCCCGCAGCGGGGACGCCCCGGCACCTGGGGCACCCATCCCCGGGGGGGGAGAGACCCTCCTCGGCGCTCGGGGGTACAAGCAAGCGTTTTATTTTCCGAGCCCGCCAGGTATT